TTAGATAGGAACCCAAAGATAAATAGAGAAACAAAAAAGATGACTACTGTGTATACGAAGAGTTTGAGAGTAAGCATTACAAACCTCCAATATTTTTTATTGAAAAAAAAATAAATAGAATATATTTTCTATTTTGAGACCACATAGGTACTATAAGGTACCAAGAAAGAAAGTTGAAATAGAGTTAATTTTCTAAAGAAAAAAATTTCATAAATCAAATTGAAATAAGAGTTTACCAAATTAAATATGGGGAATGGTCCTAATCCTAGTAGAGTCTTTTACTATAAAAAAAAGCTTTAAAAAGCAAGGAAGTTCTTATTCTTATTTTACTCAATTTGTTTAATTAAGTATTTCATCGAAAACTAACAACAGCCTGCCAAACAAAAGCTAAAAGAAAAAAAAGAACAGGTATTATTGGCATAAAATCGACGATTGGATTCAAAAAAGCATAAGATTCGGGCAATTTGCCGAATAAAAAACTACTTGAATAGAAGACAGAATTAAGACAGATAAAACTAAGCATAAAAGACATGTTTTTTTTGATAATGAATTATTAAGATATGATTTTTATAAAATTAATATAAAAACATTATATTGAATTCGTAGGGCGGGCGCAAAATATTGATTCCTCTTTTTAATTGAACCCTTCACAATGACTAGAAATATTTCAATATTTATAATACACTATAATAGAATATAGACAATATAATAATATACAAAAGAAATAAATTAACACATAAAAAAAACCAGAACCATAGAATCAAATTGATATCCATTTTAAATTCAATAGACAAAAATAAAATGGTTATTTAATTTTTGAAGTGTTGAAGTGGGGCGTGGCCAAGTGGTAAGGCAACGGGTTTTGGTCCCGGAATTCGGAGGTTCGAATCCTTCCGTCCCAAATCTTTTTGATCTTATTATTTCTATCGAATAGAAATAGTCTATTGAGATAGAAATAATAGAGAGAAAATAATCTATCTACCTAAATAAAATATATAGAAAACCTAAAAGGATAGTATGTTTAGAGACAACTCAAACCAATACTAGAACCTATGACTATTAAAGATTCCCTGATTTAATCAAGTACATATTGGTTCCAAATTCTAAGAAAGAATATTATGGTCCAACGTGGTTTGCAACGATGTGGTATAAATCAACATGTCACTTTAAAGATGAAAACCAAGATCCGTTATCTTGTTACATCCACCATTTTTTTTTATAAATAAAATAATAGGTTATTGGCTTTATAGCAGTGAATTTGTTCCATATGATCTAAATAATGCTATTTTGTAATAGAAAGAGATTTTGATGTATATAGTTTATATAGTTATAGTTATGGTTTTTTTGTATAAAAAAAGGAGGAACTTAAAATAGATTTACAACTAGAGAGATCGAAAGAACAGAATTTCCTTTATCCACTTTTATTTCAGGAGTATATTTATGTCCTTGTTCATGATCGTGCTTTAAGTGGTTTAAAAGGGTCAATTTCTGCTGAAAATATAGTATATAAAAAAAAATTTAGTTTTCAAATTGTGAAACGCTTAATTACTCAAATGTATCAACAGATACAGCTCACTAATTGTTATTATAAAAAAAGTCAAATTTTTAGAACCAGCAAGTTGTTCTATTGTAACCAGTTAGCTGAGGTTTTTGCTTTTATTTTGGAAATTCCGTCTTATTTAAGATTCATATCAGAGCGCAAAAAAAAAAAACTCTTAAAATCTAATAATTTACGTTTACGGTCAATTCATTCCATATTTCCATTTTTTGAAGACAATTTATCACATTTAAATTTGGTATTAGATCTACTAATTCCCTCCCCCCCTCATCTGGAAATCGTGGTTCAAATAATTCGGTATTGGGTCAAAGAGGCTTCTTCTTTACATTTATTACGCTTCTTTCTATATGAGTTTTACAATTTTCAAAATTTGAATACTCCCAATAGGTCCCATTACATTTTGACAAAAAGACCTGAGCGGCTTTTCTTCTTTTTATATAACTCTTATTTATATGAATATGAATCCGTTTTTGTCTTTCTCCGCAACCAGTCTCTTCATTTAAAAGCAATCAGTTTTCGAGCACTTTTGGAAAGGAATCTTTTCTATGGAAAAATCGAATGCCTTTTAGAAGTATTTAATGAGGATTTTTCTGCAAGTATCCGTTTGTTAAAGGCTCCGGATCTTTCAATGCATTATGGTAGGTATAGGGGAAAGTCAATTATGGCATCAAAAGAAACGTTTCTTTTGATATCAAAATGGAACTATTATATTGTAAAATTTTGGGAATCTTATTTTTCTCTTTGGTTCCATACTGGAAGAATAAATAGAAATCAATTATCCATCCATTCTTTTTCATTTATGGATTATCTTTCAAGTATTGTAGTAATCCCTTCAATAATACGAAGTCAAATGTTAAAGAATTCATTTTTAATAAAAAATGCTATTCATCAATTTGATACTGTTGTTCCAATTATTCCTATCCTTAGATCCCTAGCTAAAGCTAAATTTTGTAATGTACTTGGGAATCCCATTAGTAAACCGGGTTGGACCGACTTCTCAGATTCTGAGATTATTAAAAGGTTTGGGCGGATATGTCGAAATTTTATTCATTATTATAGTGGTTCTTCCAAAAAAACCAGTTTGTATCAAATAAAGTATATACTTAGGCTTTCTTGTGCTCGAACTCTAGCTCGGAAACACAAAAGTACTGTACGCGATTTTTTAAAAAGCTTGGGCTCGGAATTTTTAGAAGAATTTTTTACATCGGAAGAACAAATTTTTAATTTCACGTTTTCAAAGGCTTCTTCAAATTTGAGGCGAGTTTATAAAAGGCGGATTTGGTATTTTGATATTGTTTGTATCGAAGAGCATATTAATTTTTAAAAATTCATGCATCTTGTCAAATTCAAATTTTTACCAAATTATAAAATTATTAATAGAGGCAAAAAGTTTTATTTTTCCATTTGATCGTAAATCTTTCTTAAAAAGTCTAATTAAAGGGTAAGCTTAGTTTTAACTTTTTTAAAATTGACTACAGATAATTTATATATAATTTATATATATATATAGGAACGCTTATTCACAAAAATATTAAAAAAAAAATATATTCTTTACTCGAACTAACAAGTTCCAGATTGTAATTATGAGTACCAAATCGTCATACTTAAATTAAATGGAGAAAATTTGCTTGACTTAAAAAAAGGGGGCGGAATCAAATTAGATAGCTCTATTGGTTGACACGAATATCTAAGTCGTGTTATACTGTTGAATAACAAGCCTTTAATTTATTCTATTTTTTTTTATTTCGTGTGCTTGGGAGTCCCTGATTATAAAATCAACCAAGAATTGATCATGACTGCAGTTTTAGAGAGACGCGAAACCCAAAGCTTATGGGGTCGTTTCTGTAATTGGATAACTAGCACTGAAAATCGTCTTTACATTGGATGGTTTGGTGTTTTGATGATCCCGACTTTATTGACCGCAACTTCTGTATTTATTATTGCCTTCATTGCTGCTCCACCAGTAGATATTGATGGTATTCGTGAACCTGTTTCTGGATCTCTGCTTTACGGAAACAATATTATTTCAGGTGCCATTATTCCAACTTCTGCAGCTATAGGATTACATTTTTACCCAATATGGGAAGCGGCATCCATTGATGAATGGTTATATAATGGGGGTCCTTATGAACTAATTGTTCTACACTTCTTACTTGGTGTAGCTTCTTATATGGGGCGTGAGTGGGAACTTAGTTTTCGTCTGGGTATGCGCCCTTGGATTGCGGTTGCATACTCCGCTCCGGTTGCAGCTGCTACCGCAGTTTTCTTAATCTATCCAATTGGTCAGGGAAGTTTTTCTGATGGTATGCCCCTAGGAATCTCTGGGACTTTCAATTTCATGATTGTATTTCAGGCTGAGCACAATATTCTTATGCACCCATTTCATATGTTAGGCGTAGCTGGTGTATTTGGCGGTTCCCTATTCAGTGCTATGCATGGTTCCTTGGTAACTTCTAGTTTGATCAGGGAAACCACAGAAAATGAATCGGCTAATGAAGGTTACCGATTCGGCCAAGAGGAAGAAACGTATAATATAGTAGCCGCTCATGGTTATTTTGGACGATTAATTTTCCAATATGCTAGTTTCAATAATTCTCGTTCATTACACTTCTTTTTAGCTGCTTGGCCTGTAGTAGGTATTTGGTTCACTGCTTTAGGTATCAGCACTATGGCATTCAATCTAAATGGTTTCAATTTTAATCAATCCGTAGTTGATAGCCAGGGCCGGGTAATTAATACTTGGGCTGATATAATTAATCGTGCTAACCTTGGTATGGAAGTTATGCATGAACGTAATGCTCACAATTTCCCTCTAGACCTAGCTGCTATCCAAGTTATAGCTACAAATGGCTAGAGACTTCGTCTCTTAGTATATAGATAGAGAATCTATTTAAAATAGAATAAAGGAGCAATTCCGCCTTCTTGTCTAGAACAAGAAATCGGTTATTGCTCCTTTATTGATTCCTTTTTGAAAATAACATAGTTTAGTCGGGGGCGGATGTAGCCAAGTGGATTAAGGCGGTGGATTGTGAATCCACTATGCGCGGGTTCAATTCCCGTCGTTCGCCCATCACTCGAATTATCGTTTCGATAAATTCTATAAATGGGTGAAATATATGAGTGAAAGTAAATAACATGCCGCTATGGTGAAATTGGTAGACACGCTGCTCTTAGGAAGCAGTGCTAGCGCATCTCGGTTCGAGTCCGAGTAGCGGCATAAAAAATAAGAGTAATCTTTTGTTCTTTTTCATTTTTTTCTTATCTAATTCGGAGTTAAAATCTTATTTTTTTTTTATTTTTATGATAGTTTCAACCTTAGAACATATACTAACTAATATTTCACTTTCAATAATACTCGTTTCTATTTTAATTAAAATTTATTTGAAAATCTTTTTTGTAGATGAAAACATAAAACTTTCTAATTCATCAGAAAAGTGCATTTTCATAACTTTTTTATGTATAACAGGATTATTAGCTACTCATTGGATTTCGTCGGGCCATTTCCCACTAAGTGATTTATCGGAATCTTTGCTTTTTCTTTCCTGGAGTTTTGCTCTTAATAGCCTTTCCTATTTAAAAAAAAATACAAAATTATTAAGTACAATAATAAGCCCAATCAATTTTTGTATCCAGGCTTTTGCTACTTCGGGTCTTTTCACAGAAATTAAAAAATCTTCAATATTAGTCCCCGCTCTTCAATCTGAGTGGTTAATAATGCACGTAAGTATGATGATAGTGGGTTACGCAGCTCTTATATGTGGCTCCTTATTATCAGTAGCACTTATGGTCATTACCTTTAGAAAAAATGAAAATATTTTTAAAATGAATTATATTTTTTCGGCTAAAAATTTTTATAAGATTCAATTAAGTAAAGAATTGGATTATTGGAGTTATCGAGTTATTAGTTTAGGGTTTATCTTTTAACCATAGGAATACTTTCGGGGGCTTTGTGGGCGAACCAAGCGTGGGGATCTTATTGGAGTTGGGATCCTAAAGAGACTTGGGCTTTTATTACTTGGATAGTGTTTTCAATTTATCTACATACTCGAAGAAATAGAACTTTCGAAGGTGCTACTTCGGCAATTGTGGCATCTATAGGTTTTCTTCTTATTTGGATATGTTATTTTGGAGTCAATTTAATTGGATTAGGTCTACATACTTATGGTTCATTTTCGCGAACATAAAAAAAGACATTAATTTTTTACTTCGTGAAAAGCTAAAATTTGTGAAACCCGTGCTCTCAAATAAAAATATTTCCTATTTGAGAGCACGGGTGTTCAATAAAAATAGAATGAATTCAAATATACTTTTCTGGACCAGATCAATAAGCGAGACCCATACTGCGAGTTGTTTTCATGCCATAAATAAACTCGAACACTCAAGAAAATCTGTTGGCAGGCGGATTCACATCTTTTACAGCCTACACAGTCTTCTGTTCTCGGAGCAGAAGCAATTTGTTTAGCCTTACATCCGTCCCATGGTATCATTTCTAAAACATCGGTGGGGCAGGCTCGGACACATTGAGTACATCCTATACATGTATCATAAATCTTTACAGAATGTGCCATTGGACGAATAAAATTATAAACTTTATGAATTATCGATATAGTATCCTCCAAATATTATTTTTATCCAATATAAAATTATAAGATACTTGGTTTTTAGATACTATATGACTCAATGAATTCTCAGAAGGATTCTAATCAATAGATTTCTGGATTGGTTTTGAAAATAAAAAAAAATTATTTTATGTTTTAATATTATCATTTTTTTATAACTACGCAAACTACCTACAAACTACCTAATAGGGTAAATAAGGATTCTTTTTTTAATTAACTCAATCTATTGTTTTAAAGTTTTAAATAAATACTCCCTTCAAATTTATACAGTAAGAATCAATAGACAAAAGGACATGATGTCTTTCTATTCACTACCCCAAGCTATTCTTTTTTAATTGTTTCAGTAACCATATTGTTGTTCTAAATTTACCTCTATAATAGGTTTGAAAAGCTATGCAACTTCAAAATGAATGAGTTTTTTGTCTCTCTAATCTCCAATTTATCAATTAATTCTTTATAGCGGAATTTATTTTTTTTTGATAAATAAGCTAAAAGTCGTTGTCGTTTCCCCAAAATTTTACGTAAACCTTTTTGAGATAAATAGTCTTTTTTGTGCAATTTCAAGTGGGAAGTAAGCCGGTGTATTCTATTGGTGAAATTCCATACTTGAAATTCAAACGGAACCTCTGTTTTGTAAGTTTTTTATCATAAACTAAATGAACTCCCTTCATTGATATATAATATGCATTTAAAATAATTTTTTATAATTAAGTTCTAGATTCATTTCATAGATATGAAATAATTGATTAGTAACTAAAACGAACGAACAAAAAAATAAAGAAAAAAAGGATAATATTATTTACTTTTATTCTATATTATAGAATAAATCAACTTGACAGAAATGAGTCCAATGTTTTCTTATTTTTTTTGTAAAAAAAACTTTGAAACTTACCCGTTAAAAGAGATTTTGCTAATGAAAGAGCTTTTAATCTTACCTCAATAGTCTTTCTTTTCCAAATGTTCTTACGAATACGCTTTTTGGCTTTCGAAATACGTTTTTTTTGGAACTGCCATTTCAAATGATTTACAGGTTATCACTGGATGTGAAAGACATTTATTGCTAAAAAGGAATTCTTCTAACTAAGTCTATCAATTCAAATCAAAAGAAAACCCTTTCTTTTAGGGTTCATTAATAAAATCAAAGTGAATTTTTTCAACTTAATATTCTTTTAATGAGGTACAATATATCTATATAGATCTAGATAGATATATGGTATCCTCAATTCAGTTAGATCCAAATTAAAATGAGGTATAAAATAGGGTATGTGTCCATATTGGTTTTCATCTAACCTGCTACCATCTACCCTGCTACAGGGTAGATAGTACTACTATCAATTAAATTTCCACCAATTTAAATTCAATGGTAAATACATATGGATCCTTAACATACTGAAACGACTCCCATTATTAGTATAAAACCAATAACGATTCATACAAGCTAAATCTTCCAATCGATAATTAGGCCAAAGAAAAAATTCAATTAATTTATTTTGATCCTTAGGCCCAGGGTTGCTTTCTTCCCAAACTTTATTTTTGTTGGAAACTAGAGAATTTGCATCCACGCCATTCCATTTGTGTGAATTGAAACAAATTAGAGTTCTTAATTCTCTACGACGCCTAGATGATAAAATATTTTCAATAAGAAGCGGATCACAATTATTGTTCTCTCGAGCGCGAATTATTCTTTGTTTTACGTCTTCTTTATTAAGAATTTGTTTACTCTTATGAACCAACGAAATAACTATCGTTTCATACATAAGAAATTCTCCATTTGGTTTGATAGACAGCGAAGGGGGGTCGACCAAAAATCCCGTCTTTTTTAAAAATTCTGGAACACTCTCTTTTGAATCTGGAACACTCTCTTTTGAATCTGGAACATTTCTTTTTGAATCTGGAACACTCTCTTTCTGATCCATCTGTGGCATTAGACCCAAATTTAACTTTTCCCTTAGAATCCATGATAGCATCATTTTTTTTCGATTTATCATTCTAAGCAAGAGACAATAGATTTGGAGATCTTGGAAAAGGCCTTGATTTAAAGTAAAATCCTCTCTAAATTGAAAAAATAAATAGTTTTTCATGAATAACTCTAGTTCTATCTCAGTTTGACTTTTCTTTTCACCTTCAGTTTCACCTTCAGTTTCGCCTTTGGTTTCACCTTCAGGTTTACCTTTGGTTTCACCTTCAGGTTTACCTTTGGTTTCACCTTCAGGTTTACCTTTGGTTTCACCCTGAGTTTCACCTTTGGTTTGACCCTCAGGTTCACTTTTGGTTTGACCCTCGGCTTTATCTTTTTTTTTACTCTCAGTTTTATCTTTTTTATCTTTCTGAGTTTTACCGGTCTTTTGACTTGTCATTTCATTAAGATTCAAATTTGAAATAAGTGATTCGCTTGGTATAATCCATGGTTTCAGTTTATATAAATTAACAAACCACACAAATTCTGGGAAAACCAAAAGTTCCTCAGCCGTTAATGGACGGTCGAGTATTTCTTCATTCAGTCCCATCCAATCCAATAAAGAATTTCTAGAATGGAGTCGATTCATTTCGGTATTTTTCTGAATCAAAAGAGCAAAAGGATCTTTTTCGTTTTTAAAAATTTGCTCAATTTTCAAAATTTCTTCCATTTTATCAATTAATTGATAATTGTAAGTGAAAATTGGAGTATTTTGAGTATTGTTAAATTACCCGTGATCCAGACTCAATATTCGCTTTTTTTTTAAGAGAAAAATCAATATTTTTCCAATTCAAATATTTTCTATCGACATCTTTTTTTGGATATGGAATATTTAACCTTTCTATTTTTCCTCTGAAACTAGTGATAGGAATATTTTTCGTTATCGCAAACAAGTTGTTTTGTGACATCTTGTAATGATAAGAAATTGCTTCCCGTTTAGCTCCTGGAGGGGTTCCACTATTTTTTTTCATACTGAATGTATTGATATGCTAAAAGATCATATCGATAGCATTTTTTTAAATTATCTTTTGTTTTTTTATTCAAGACTGAGTTAGCATCCTTTTGTTTCCTGTAAGTATTTAATTTTAATTTTTTACCGGAAGTCCTTTTGTCTAAATATTTTGTTTAGACCTACGATAGCGATTCGCCCTATTTCTCCATTTTTGTTTTTGTGATCTTAAGGCAGACCAGAAATTAGGAGATAAATCGTAGTGAGAATTCCCTTTTAACCAAAATTTCCATTGACTCGTTCTAGGCCGCTTAAGTTGTTTTTTTATTCCTTCAGATGGAAGTATTCCTTGTGTATGAAATGAGTCTTTTATTTTCTTTTTAATCAAGAAAGATGTTCCATTTTGTTGAAGAACAGATATGAAATTACGTACGTTCAAAAAACCCCTTTCTGATATTTTGTACAATACATATGCTTGTGACAAGTTGGATAAATCACCAAAACTCTCTGAATTTTCCTTATAAAGCTTATTATTATGCGTTTTTATATTTGAATTTGAAAGAGAGTTCATTTTTGTTGATTCCACAAAGACTTTTTGAGTCATTTGGCAAATAGATATAGTATATAAAAAAATACAATTAGATATTCTTTGAATAAATAATTTTATAAAATAATTAAATTTATATATTAATCTATTTTTTTTTTTTTTTCAACATTTGACAAAAATTTTTTGACAAGGCTAATCTCGAAACTTTTTTTGTAAGGGTTCATATCAAGTTCTAGAGTGACCCTTTTCTTATCTTCCGTAATTCTTTCTAGTTTTTTTTTAATTGTACTTGTCCTATGAGTGATAGCCTGCATTTTGTCTATCGGTGAATAATTTTTCCAATCTGTAATTTTTTCAATTTTACTCAAGGGTTGATTCATTATCTGGTTATTTATTAGATCATCTTTTTCATTTTTTATTACACTCGGGTGTATTGTTCTTGTTTCTTTTGAACTTGTGTTTTTTTTTTGAAAACTTTTTTAAAAATTTAATTTTTACTTTTACAAATTTGTAAAGTTCCTTAAAAACAGGCTTAAAAAACGAAGGTTTTTGTCGTGGATGACCAAAAGGGTGTTCTGTTTCCCTTCCCCAAACTGTTAAAAAACAAAAGTCATCACGAGAATTTAGCGATTTATATTCGTGCCAAGGTTTGAGACAGAAAGGAAATAAAATTTTGATTTGAATACCTTCTGTCAACCAATTTTCCGGAAATTTTTTGTCAGCTAACGGAATACCATTATAAGTACACTTCACATGCGTTTCTCTATTCCATCCCTTTAAATCTTCAGACCATTCAGGAGTTTGAAATAGTAGCATACGCCCGATATTTTTACCGATTATGAATGAAGGTAATAGAATCTTTTTTCTGAGAATTGATTGGGTTATTAATAAAAAACCTCTTATTATTTGGGTATATGGAAAAGTCTCCCAGGCTTCCCCTATCTCTAACCGTTCTATTTCCTCTCGTCGTTTTTTTTCCTTTTTGGTTTCTCTTTTTATTATTATTTTTTTTTCCTCTGTAGATTCTAAAATCCCAAACTCTTTTATGGATGACCATTTTCTAAAAAGCCGTTTCAGTTGAGCCAGGTATGGTAGAGAAAAAAAGGTTTTTTTCCTCATCCTGTCAAAAAAAAGAGGGGAATGCGCATTTGCTTTAAAAAGTCCCTCAATAACTATTTTACGTCTTTGAGTTCGCATAGAGTCTTTTATTAAGCCTTGGCGAAAATCAGATTGGTGCGGATATCGTAATAAAAAAAGCTTATTATCCTCATCTTCCTTTTTCTTTTTAATATTTTTATCTTTCTCATTATCGTCGGATTTTTATAGCTTGAATATTTGTATCTTTTGTATTCTTATCTTTGTTTGTAGTCTTATCTTTGAGAGTCTTAGGTTCTTCAAAAATTAATACACTGATCCCTTTTCTTGAACGAATATCATGATCATCTGGTGGATTTGTAAAATACGATATTTGTTCCAATTCAGTTATTAATTTGTATGACCATCGGGGACTTTTTTACCAATTTCTTCTTTACCTATTTTTTCTATTGCAGAAGATTTTTTATCGTCTGTCTCAATTGCATTTACTAAAAATTTTGTTAGTTGTTCTGAATCCGTTAAATTGAAACTTGATGATAAAGTTGAGAACTCACCAACTTGTAATGGTTTTTTTTCCTTTTTTTCAAAGTAGACATCAACAATAAAGCATGAAGTCTATTTAGCATAACCTTCTCTCTCAACTTTTTGATCGAAGTATCGTTTATCGACGTGATATCTTTTTTTATTCTTCCGCGGGGAAGGCCCATTTAACAAGGGATCATACTTTTCTGGTAAGTATTCTTTTCTAGTCTCATCATTGTGTATACATAATCGCGTTTTGTTTGTTTCAATTTCGATTATTGGAACTTGCTACTGGTTTGTCAAGATTTTTAATTCGATTTAGCAAATCAATTTTTATAGAATTTAATTTTTGTTTGTTTCTAGAAACCCAAAAAATTGTCCAATGTATTAGAAATATCTTTTTCTAGTGACAAAAGGGGTATCTTTGTTTTGATTATTTGAAAAAACGTTGATAAACTTATCGGATGGGGTAAAAGATATTCTATCTTTTCCATCACTTTTATGTATGTCAAAGAAATATTGTGCCATTTCGTTTCTTACAGCTTGTTCAAGTCTATTATTTTTTTATGTAACGAAATGGGCGAGTCCATCTTTTATAATCAAAAAGAAGAGCCACAATATGTTCTTTATTTTCATTTTTTTTCAAGGATTTCCAATTCGGAATCAGACCCTTCCAAGTCTGGTTCATTTACCTTCAAGTCCAATTCTTTTTCCAAAATACCTTTTTCTTCGGAAAAAAGGGAAGGATCTTTTTCAGCGGATTTCTTTTTTTTTTCTACGTCTTTTTCTTCCTCCCTTTGCAACCTTTCCTTTTCCCTTTGTTCTATTTTTGAGACCTCACTAAATTTCTGAGTAGGAATAGGTAAGGGTGTTCTGCCTAAAGACTGAATACTTAGAATACATACTAGAGTTCCAAAACTATAATTTACTAAAATAAAAAATATAGAATTTCTCACTAGGTACTTTCGAATGATCGACCTAATAACATTATTTTTCTGTATCCAGACTGCTAAAAATTCCAAGCAATTTATGACTAAAATTTGTCCCATTTCCCCAAGCAAACAAACTGCTTGTTACAAACAACATCTTATTATTACAGCGAAACAGATAAATGCTTACTAATCGGGCTAACGTTGAACTTGGTAAAATGCAAGTGTTTAAGCAACTGAAAAATAAGATGATTGAGGAATACAAAGATATTCTCTAGCTCACGGATCGAATTTTGGTTATTAGATCCATAAGCAAAAATTTTT